AGACAAAAATTTGCTGATTCAGAATATGTAAGTATACATTCAATATCACAAAAAAATGCAGCTTAGATTAATAAAATTAGCCTTTCAACTCCAACTACTAATGTTACATAATACAACATTATGTAACATTAATATTATTGTAAAACTTTATTGTAACAATAACTATGTTTAAACTGTCAAACACCAAGTGGTCACCGGTGACCACAACCTATTGTTCTATAATTGTGTCTACAAAACCAGTACTTGACGAGTTAAGTACCTAATCCTGTAGTTAAAATATTATCGTAGAATAATGTTATTATAACACATTATATATTGCATGTATTTTTATGTAATACAATCGTTTGATTGTAGAAATATACTTATTATTGTGTGATTCAAAATTTCTTTTATTTCAATTATAGTCAATGTACATCTCACTTTCCTACGATTTTATTATATGTACCTATAGATAATGCAAAAGAGTTTTTGTATAATATTTTGCATTAAGGAGCAATTTTGGTACAATTTTTATAATGTAGAGACTAGAGATGTAGAAATATGTAACCTTTGTCTTATTGACAGTTGCTGCATATTTTTGCCATATTGAGTTATACAGGGTTTAAACTGTCAAATACCAAGCGGTCACCGGTGACCGCAACCTATTGTTCTATAATTGTGTCTGCAAAACCGGTACTCGACGAGTTAAACGAAATACTCCCAAAATGTTGATAAAAAGAAATTGTTTTTACAGTTCAAATTGTTTTTGTTTACGTGTTATTCATGCAACATCAGCCTTGGCAGTTGATTACAACTGTTATTACATTAAAGAAACATTGAATTCCTTACTTTTATATGAAACTGTAGCTTGTTCTTTCTGTTTACACTCTACATACATAATTCAACAGACAAAAATTTGCTGATTCAGAATATGTAAGTATAAATTCAATATCACAAAAAAATGCAGCTTAGATTAAAAAATTAGCCTTTCAACTCCAACTACTAATGTTACATAATACAACATTATGTAACATTAATATTATTGTAAAACTTTATTGTAACAATAACTATGTTTAAGTACCTAATCCTGTAGTTAAAATATAATCGTAGAATAATGTTATTATAACACATTATATATTGCATGTATTTTTATGTAATACAATAGTTTGATTGTAGAAATATACTTATTATTGTGTGATTAAAAATTTCTTTTATTTCAATTATAGTTAGTTGAGTATGTAAAAGTAAAACTTGGGTAAACTTGCTGTATAGGAAAATCAGTTTACCAACCTATTCTATGAACCACAGGTCCAATACTAAGTACCTATTTATTATTCATTTATTAATAATTTAAGCCCCACAAACCCGTTGCAATAAAAAGGTGTTGCTCACTATTGTTTGATCAAACAATGTTTGGTAAATTATTACTAAATCGAACGTAAAAATCATCACTTATTATAGAGGTAATATCGTTTGACAGAATTTTCAGGTGTCCCTTCGTCCAGCATACTCACCATGGAATCCTGATATTTCATGAATGTCAAAAAACTGTTCTGAAATAGTGCTAAATAGTGCCCAAAGGAAAAAAATAGTGCTCTTGTACTTGCGAAGTTATAGCCATAGTTCGATGAGTATGCTGGACGAAGGTTTCGCCCAGCATACTCACCTCCGTCCGGAGAATCTGTATACGCTTCAAACATAATTCATACTTCAAAAAATAGTTCCCAAATAGTGCCAAACGGTGCCCAAAAAGAAAAAACAGTGCTCGAATAACTTCGGAGTTATAGGCTTCGTTCAGTGAGTATGCTGGGCGTAGGTTCTACGCCCAGCATACTCACCTCAGTGCGCGAATATCGAACGAGCTATAGGTACAATTTACGTCTCAAAAAATTGTGCTTGAAATAGTGCCCAATATCAGTCCAATTTTTGCTTGACTTTTGACCTAGAAAACCATTAAATTTGATTGTAAACTTCTACATACATTACATTGAGTACAGTCGAATACAATATTATTAACTTTCTTTCTAACAATTTTTGTCTTGTGTAAATTATTAATTGTCTATGTAAGGGAGTATTTACTTTAGAATCGCAATATTATTAATTACACATTATTTTAATAATACTTTATAATAATATGATTAAGCCTTCGCGCGTCGCATGGGACCCCGGTAGCTAGGAACAATGATTTTATATATTTTGTCTAGATCACGGCGCTTGAAGGATTAAGATATCAAATGAAGTAAATCATGCATGAAAAATAAAGTTGCTGTTATTAATGCTTACATTACAACTGACAAAATTATTCAAAATAATCATTTTCCGGATCAAGGACGGTACCACAACGTTTACGGAATTGACCTGTATTCCTCATGTGATAAAGTTCAATATAGTGTGGCAGTAATGGATGCACGTACGGTCAATAGGTATGGGGCTTACGACGCGCGGCGCCCGCGACGCAAATGAATATGTTTATGTTTAAATACTAGATGGCGCTGCCCTAACATCTTACGATTATTAGACAAGACTGATCTGTATTTTGAAGGTGATAAGGGTCCATTTTGTGTCACAAAGCGACGCGCGGCGCCCGCGACGCTTTTATTTATTGGCTGCAAATGACTGTTTTTATTCAGACAAACACACAATGCAATGAAGTAATAGACTTCATTTACGCTTAAAGTTTCATTCATTTATTATTATTTATAAAATATATAATAATGCATTTAATCGAAAGTTTTTGACATGTGAGAAAATACCATAATTATTTCCAATAACATGAAGTCTACAATTAGAAAGTTTAATATTTTTGTCCAAAAACATGTGTCGACGACTGTACCCCATTTTACGTTAGTATGTAGAAGTTTACATTAAAATTTAATGGTTTTCTAAGTCAAAAGTCAAGCAAAAATTGGACTGATATTGGGCACTATTTCAAGCACAATTTTTTGAGACGTAAATTGTACCTATAGCTCGTTCGATATTCGCGCACTGAGGTGAGTATGCTGGGCGTAGAACCTACGCCCAGCATACTCACTGAACGAAGCCTATAACTCCGAAGTTATTCGAGCACTGTTTTTTCTTTTTGGGCACCGTTTGGCACTATTTGGGAACTATTTTTTGAAGTATGAATTATGTTTGAAGCGTATACAGATTCTCCGGACGGAGGTGAGTATGCTGGGCGAAACCTTCGTCCAGCATACTCATCGAACTATGGCTATAACTTCGCAAGTACAAGAGCACTATTTTTTTCCTTTGGGCACTATTTAGCACTATTTCAGAACAGTTTTTTGACATTCATGAAATATCAGGATTCCATGGTGAGTATGCTGGACGAAGGGACACATTTTCAGTTCGTCGAATATTTATTTGCTATAACATTTTCGCTAATGATCAAAAGGTATAATGTTCATTTGATGGAATGTTCAGATGGTATTTTGAACTAGAAAACAGTTAAGACTAATCTTGAATTCTAAATAAGCAAAATTTTTTGGGCATCCCGACACATTTGGTTAGGTTAGGTTAGAACTGTCTCTCACAAGGCGCGAGCGTAGCTAACGGTGCCACGGTAGCGGCCGTCGAGCGCTATCACCGACACCGACATGGCACTGACTTCTTACTTACCAGTGGGTGTGTAAGCTATAAGTAGGTACCTACGTATTAATAGTTATTTTTTGCTTCTTAGTTTTTAATTTTCGTTTATTTTTAGATTTTGAAGTAGGTTTGTTTAAACGCAATTTTTTATTTTCATTTTATACTTTTTAGTTTAATACTAGAATGTATTATTTTATGTACAACCCACATGGGTACAAAGTTTTCATGAATACAAATTATTCAAGCTCAAACACCAGGTAGCTACTGTTAACCACTGAAGCGTTCTCTCAGCTGTCATACTTACTACTTCATCATTGGACCTTTAATGACCATCACACCTCATCTAGGTGTAAAGTCCTCATCAATACAAATTATCAAACCTAGACACAAGGTAGGTACTGGTCACCGCTGAGGAGTTCCCTCAACTATCGTAGTACCTATTTCATCATCAGGCACTTATTGACAACCACTCCACCCCAAGGTGTAAAGTCCTCATAAATACAAATTAATCAAACCCTAACACAAGGTAGCTAGGTACTGTTAACCGTTGAGGACTTCCCTCGACTGGCTCTCAGCTCCATCATTAGATCGTCTCCAGACCTACATCAGATTGTAGTGGTTTTGAAAACTGAATTAAAAAAATAACAAATGCATTAGTCGCCACTATAATATTTAAAAGTTCCCCTAGGTCCCCTGGGATACCATCACCAGATTCTTAATTGATGACAATAGGACCAAATGACAAGCCTACCCTTTCAAATAAAAAAAGAATTTTTGAAATCGGCCCAGGCATCTTCGAGAAATCGAGTAACAAACATTTAAAAAAATACAGTCGAATTGAGAACCTCCTTTTTTTGAAGTCTGTTGAAAAGAGTGAACCTTTGCTTTGATTCTCAAGTCTCTTGAAATCGCGAGGGAGCTTTCTGTTACGGCATAAATAACGATTTTATAAATTAATTATTGTTTTCGGCTTACTTACGTAACTGTTTGACGAGGAACTCGACTAGTTTCAAACCATGCTAGGGCTCATATGCATGCATGAGCAGTATTCCGCGACTCGCGAGTCGCGCGAATCGCCACGTTGCGGGCCGCGACGTGGCGATGGTCGCGCTGCTAGTCCAGTTCCTCGTCAAACAGTTGCGCGAGTACCTAAGCATACCTACCTAACCTACCTACATAATAATTCATTTAAGTACCTAGTTATGTTTTTTTTATGGCATAATCCGGTAAACGAGCAGACGGATCACCTGATGGTAAGCAATCTGCGTCGCCCATGGACACCTGGAATACCAGAGGCGTTACAAGTGCGTTACCGGCTTTTTGGGGATTAGGAGTTTCAGGGTCGTTGGGGATTCAGGGATTGGGGAGATTGGAGAGAGTATGTCTCACAAAAGTTTTAATATACCTAAACAGCAAATAAAACGATGTTATTATTTATATTTTAATAATGCCATTTATTTCGTGGTTAGAACTAGGCTAGTACATAAATACAAGGTTTGACGGAGTACAATGATTTATATTAAGGTTAACTCATAAAATGACTAAAATAAAATCTACATCTATAGTAAAATTTTGTACATGTTCAAGTAATAATACATATTACTCAGTTTGGAAATTATTTCATGCGGAAATGAATTCATTAGGTACATAGGTACTAGCAATATATCGATATTTTCGAGAAATCTATTTAAATATTTTATACATTATAGAAGATCTAAGCTATCACATAATGTGAATTATAATTTCGTAACATTTTGCTTTTTACAAATACTTCATTGGCAAGATACTAATTTTATAATAAAATAGGACATAAGTAAATTCATTGTAATATCTATAGAGAGTGAAAGGATAGAGAGATAATAAAATATTACCAGAGTCAGATAAGCAATTTGCTACAGGTAGTACTACAATAGCAAACAGTCCTATTTAACAATCATACCGCCACCTCGTGCGATGCTCTTCAAACATGGCAGGGTGGTGATAACTTCTCGTTTTACAGCAGTATAAAATAATTCACAAGCACTCATTGAGATTACGATCTTATTAGATTACCAATAGCAATGTGTTAACACACACATTGAACATTTTAAATTATAGCCATACACAAAATATATACACATTGTGCACATCTTTGTACTTTAAAATTAGATTCACATAAATATGTAACTAAAGTCCAATAATGTCACCAATCATACACACTCTGCAGCGTGTTGGTTAGTTCATGTGTTTATGAACAACCGATACACCAATCAATCAACACAGTCTCACTTTGTTCACGCATCTGTCCATGAAATTTCTTTTCCTCTTCGTTTGTGTGGCAGCATCTAAAGGCGTGGGCAAAGACAGCTGTGTGTGCATTTGTTCCTCGGCTTCTAATATGCCTTCGCAGCTACGGCATCTACGTGAGGGTTTCTCTACTTCGTGGCAGCCTATGTTATCACTACTTTCAGACAACATTTCAGGTAGACTATAAAGTGATTTTTCAGGAGACGTGTTTTTAGAAGTATTACTACTTGTAGGTAATTGTTCGCAGCTTTGTGAGGAGGCTAAAGATTTTGCCAAGGAGGATTGGCGGTTTCTTCGTGGTCTGAAATCAAAAGAGAACATTTTATGATAAAGTCTTATAGATTTAATTTTCCTCATCATTTGGACCTAGGTCCACCCACTGCTGGGTATAAATTTAATTTAAACTGTCAAACACCAAGCGGTCATCGGTGACCGCAACCTATTGTTCTATAATGACGGTACTCGACGAGTTAAATTACCTAACGTATACATAATTTATTTTATTGATATAAAGCTGAATATTTGCTGATGATAAGTAAAACATATCATACCTAACAGGCGGCAGTGTGTGTATGGGTGGCTCTAGTCAATCTGCTTTATCGCTTCCTCTGCTCTCGCAGGAAGCCATCCGCTGATAGTTCGGTGGTCCTCGTCCAATGGTGGCAGTTCCAGGGGTCTGCGTATCCCCACGACCCCTTAATTGTCCGTCAAGTCGATTAGCGAGATTGGATTTTCCTCTGAGGAAACTGGAATATAATATTTCATTTAATTTGCGAACTGATATAAAGGCGATTTGCATCTTTTGTTATTGTGTAAAATATTACGCTCAATTTGTTTATGGTTGTGTTAAAAATATTTTACCTTTCTAGCTTATCGACACATGCATCTTGGTAGTCGTGTATCCATCTCACACCGTTGAAATGACATACTGCTCGCATATCTTCAGGAAGTTCTTCAGCTTTAGGCCATTCAAAGTTGTCGATAATTGGTACAATATTGCATTGTGATTGCAACGCTGCCACTATCTCCTGCAAAATTATTATTTTGGTTAAACACAGCCTACATGTAGGTTTAGGTAATATTATAGATTGAAATATCAGATCTAAATGCAACCTTATAAAAAAAGATATTTATACTTACTCTGTGAACCCAGTCTTTTCTATCAGTATCTTTTTTACACCGGTCGAGTGCATTAGGCGTAAGCACAAGCAAGAAGTGTTTCGCTTGACGTATGCTCTGCAGCAAATTGTTGTCGAACTTTCCAGCTTCTAAACGTTCCACGTCTATGAACACTGTGAAACCTCTAAGCTGAAGATGGACTTTTAGTAAACTCGCCAGTTGAGATCCGTTAGACCTACGGTAACTAACGAACACGTCCAAATTCTTCTCCATATTTTCTTCACCCTTACTTAACAAACAGCACTCGTATGCTGAAATAATAAGATTGGAAATTGTATTACAACTTGTTAATCAGTCTCATAATCATATATTTAAATCAACATTTTTGTGCCAGATGGAGCACTTAGTAAGTAGATAAACTATTAAAACACACTGTTAGCCATGTAAGGTCGTGTGCGAAGTTCTTTGAGATTAAACGTATTAAGAATTAATTAGCTTACCTCTAATAGCATTTAGAATCCTTAATCTATGTATACTATTCTTAATTCGACACTCATTCTCTAGTTGTTCATCACTAAGTCCTCGGATGGATTCTTTGTCAACACCAGCGTTTAGCATTGAATATGTATAAATAGTGTACTCTGGTCCAATGCCTTGCAAAAAGTCGTTGAGACTGCTTGTGTCCCGAGAAGTGTAATCCGCCATTTTTTTCAGTTGCTGAAGTTCTCTCGTGAATCTGTAAATATAATTATGAATTTGTTAAATTATTCAGTGATTCAACTAATAGAGTAATTCAAAATATTCATGCACATTTTTTTTAAAAAGGTAAAAGGTTTAGTACCTTTTGCGTTTGATTCCGTTTTGCAAACCGATATCTTCTTTAAGGTTTTCTTCACTTATTTGGAGTAACAAATCACCATCGACTCTACTTTCATAAAAGTTTGTTGCATATTCTGAGAAGCCTATCTGTTTTACCCATTCTCGTACATCTTCTATGGACCAAAGAGGAACTTGCTGAGATAATTTATGAGGCACTTCCTCCCCTATCAGTCGTAAAGCTTGTGCAGCATATTTAGATGCAACAGCATTGGGACAGCTGGCCACCTTTTTTAACGATTCTATTGCACCGATTTCTCTAAATATTTCTGTGTTTCCTTGTTGCTTTTTAATTCCCGCCTCCATGCAAAAATGAAAAGCTGCTAGATTTCTGGCTTCTTCTCTTTTTGAACTCAATACTGGGACTAACCTTTTTAACCAGTTCTTACTTTGACCGTGAGCGTGAGCAAGATTTGATCGTGCAAACTCGGAAGGATTATGAGAAGTAACAAAGGGTTCTACTAAATCCAGTGTTCCAGATTTAAGGACGGCGGCTTCTATCTCTTTGTTTGCAACCAAAACAGCTATGGCTAGGCAAGCATAGTACTTAATGTTATCGTCATTATGGAACGCTAGCGGGAATAGCCACATCGGCACTTTCCTCTTGATCATTGCTTCTTGATTTTCAGCACCACCATACAAGGATAGGTTAGCGAGTGCTGTTGCACAATGCCTGAGTGTTTCTATATCATTCTTTCTACATTCAAATAGAACTGCATCTAAACCTCCTAGTTTGATAACATCTCCACAAGTACTTTCACTGTGTTTGAATAGATGTTCCAATATCCCTGTACCAATTCTTGCATGATCCACTGAATTTGTGGGTTTTGTACAAAAACATGCAACATTCACTACTTTTTCAAGACCATTTTGTACTACATGAGCTCTATTTTCAGTCGTAAGGCATTGTTCAAGTAGTTTTGCAGATGAGAATTGTAATTCAGGATTGCTATATTCCAAACAATTGCCCATAAGTATATCAAGACCTCCAGATTCTCTTAGTGTGTTACATAGAGAATATCCAAGTTCGTGGCCGTAAGTTGGCACCGCCCACGCTCGACGTAACATTTCATTTAATTTGTTGAAATGCATTGATGCATTTTTCATATCCATTTGATTATTCTTAATAGATGTAATAAAGGCATTCAATCTAGATGAATATTTTTGGATAGCCATTTCTACATCTTTTTGGTTTGATTTTCCATTTAGTTTATCTAAATCGTCAAATGTTAAATTAGTAAGATCTTCATCTCCTGGTTTGATTGCTCCATTCAATAGTTGACTCATCTGAAATGATATAATAGTGTTTTTTAATAACTTTTAATGCAATTAATATTTATTGGCATGAACATTTTTAAAAATAATGCTGTCTGTATTGTGTCGTTGCTATCACTTGAAACAGTTATAAATACACTTATGACTTTAGATAACACCGCATAAATGTAGAAAAACAAATAGAATATAACGTACCTGTGAGGAAGTATGGAGTGTCGATTTGGTTGACAAGTTCTTACTGGAAATTGTCATATTAGAATGAGCGACGCTGGAGTGTTCCTTATGACTAAACATCCCACTCGAGGTAACTGTTTGCCGAGCTTGTGCGGTAGCCATTGCCATTTTTTCTGCACTGAAAGCTTCAGTCTGAAGTCTTGAACTGGAAGTCGTCATGTTGTTTGCCTCCTGTGCTGTTACTTCGCCCGCTTTCAACGATCTTTGTTCCTAAAATACACAATAGCACGTTTATTTTACTGGTAAACCGGTATTGATAATCAGTTAAAAGCATATTTATGGAGAAGATCATTTTAAAATGTTGTTTTATATGAATATTCTGTTTTCAGTTCACAGTTAAGAAGACACGGATGTTATCACTGAAATCACTAGTGTTCTTTTAAAACAACACATGATTCACAAAGTAAATATTTGATAGTTACGGCAATAGCGATACGTAATTTAGGTCTTGAACGTCGTTTTGAAGACATGGTTGTTTTTTGAATAAAGTCGCGACACGTTCGCTCCGGAGTATGAAAACTACTTTTATATTGGACAGCGGTCCGCGTCACGGCTCGGATTGTACGTCCTAATAATTCCTATTGGATATAGGCCAAACGTATGAAATTCGTGCGTTTTCTATTAGTTTTGAAGTTTGTGTACACACGTCACATGTTTTGAAGGTCGTATGTGAAAATTTCCGAGGAAACGTACTCTCACCGAAGGATTTTGTGATCTTGGATGAAAGCGTGACAGGACGCCGCGGTGTACCGGCCACGGGGCGGACCCCCCTCCCGCAGACATTCTGTATCTATATTTAAAACCGACTATTCGAGTACTCGTGCGCGCACGCGCAATAATTGACTTCCGCGTGTGCTCGCGCGCACGACGTTCAGGCACTGACTGAGAGAAGCGTGGTTCAGTTACTTTGGCGATAAGCGCCTGGAGATAATGAGCTCACCGCTCCAGGCGATCCTCCGCGTCGCAGCATCCTGCCGGTCCACGCGAGAATTCGAGCAGCCATGGTACGCGACAAAACTATCGCGTGATTTTAAAAACATTCACATGTTGGATGTTATCGTAGCAAGAAATCCCACAATACTGCGCGCTTCACCGTGGTTGAGGCGGTTCTCTGTGATATCGATCGGTCGCGTTCACGCGAGGTCACGTCCTTCGACGCGCCTTTTCGGCTCCGCAGACGTTACAACTAGACGCTCGAATGTGGTAGTCATTTGACCTATTGTTGTGCTAACTTTTTACTTAATTACTGTTGTGTAATTACAACAATCATGTTAAATTATACTTTTAACATTTATAAAAAAAAGTGATTTGACTTATGAGTTCATGTATTGACAAACAGCATATTACTTACTTGTAGAGAAGCAGCGTTTTGTTCTGCAGTAAGGCCTTCTGCTTGAAGTAATCGATGTGATGCACTAGCTGCACTGTGTTCAGCATATTGTACATCACCATGTTGTAGTCTGCGCATTTTTGTACTGTTGGATGCAGACCGTGATGCACTGTATCCATCAGCAACAACTCGTGTAGAACTTGCAGATGTCATACGTGCCGCACTATATTTAAGTTCATTTGCTGTGCTTGATCCAACAACAGCGCCACTGCTGGAAAGCAGGGATGGTTTTTCCGTTATGGGTGGTGGCGTATCAGACTCCGGAAAAGTGACAAGGGGACCTTCGCTGGACAATTCTCCCATGTCACTAATATCGCCCATGTCGTCCATATCACTCAGATCTCGAATAACGGGCATATTCCGATCAGCTAAGTCATCTTGATCAACAATATTCTCCATTGAGCTTCTTATTCTGGAAACAAATCTCCAAGTAATGACGTGGCCTTTTTTAATTCAAAAAATTTGTTTTATTTAATGTAAGCGATATCCGCACGAGAGCACGAAAAGGGATGCGCGGAAACTGTAGCGTTGCTATTGTTTGTCGGCGTGGTACTGCAAACACAGAGTAGAGAAACAGCGGGTGGGAATTGGACGAAAGCCAAGGTCGCTCAGGTGAGCATGTACAGGTTCGTGGGTAATGGCAAAACTATCTTTAATGTTCTCGGGAAAACGTCTGTGTTAACACCTATTGACTAAACATGAAACACATATTGGCACTCTGGTTTTTTTTAATGTAAGTAATAGTAATAAAGTAATTGTAATAATTGACCCATACTATATAGGCTAACTAACCTTTGACTGAAATTTTTCGCAGCTGTGTTGCTCAATGTCTTCATCTCAGAAATAGAGCTTTTAAGTTCAGAAAGATCAGACTTCATGGAGCTCGCTTTCCTCTCAGTGTTAGCCATGTGCGCAAGTCGCTGCGATGAACTCTGCAACCTCTGGCTCGATGAGGCACTGCTTGAAGTCGTACTTGACACCATCTGAAAAAAAGAAAATAATGATCTTTGAGAGAATGGCCTATAGTTTTTAATTAGGAAAATAAGGATTCAAAGTATTGACCTTAAACTATTTAAATTATAGAAATCTGTCGTAAAAATTAAAAATGGTACAATCTTTACGTATTGTTCCTTCAAACTCGTTATCTAGACTAGGACTGTAGAGGAGTTCAGTGCCAATGCTAGAGGAGATTGTTAGTTGGGCGTCACTCGTCTTGGCGCACCTACACGTATGAAGTAAATAAAGCCAGGGTTACACAAAATAGAAATACAGAAATAACAGGGGCATTTTAAAATTAGCATACGTTTAAAAAAATATGCTCAACACACATGCCTATTGTAATGTTACCAAATTGTTAAGGGTTCTTAAAATACAAGTATAATTTACGGAGTATTAAATAACTACGGTGTTAAAAAATAAACAACATTTTTGAAATCACTATGATACTCGTCACAAAGCAGTGCTATAAAAAGCAATCTTTAATTGTTATCTTTAAACTCTGCTAATAATAGTCCCATATTTTGGCATTGAATACTGTGATTGAGAAGCGAAAAAATGATTCATCGAGTGTGGGCGGGCGGGATGCAACAAATCATGCCCTTGAACCTCACGCGTACTTGGTACTCTGAATGTTGTGGACCCGTTAGCGACGGTTGTCTTAAATAGCGTGGGTGATCGTGTTAATTTTGTTGTTAGTACAGATTTTTTGTGTAGATATTCTTATGATGATTAAAGTTTTGGCAAGAGAAACACAATTGTTTTTTGCAGCTATTCTAAACAAATGTAGAACATCAATTTATTCATTCTCTTACATATACATAATACCAAACTAAAACGTTTTGGAAAAAACATATTTTTAATTACAGCAGAGTCAAAAGACAATCAATGCTTTAATTAATGCTTTTACTACATGACATGGCTGCAATGATTATGTTTCTACAGCATACCAAAATGGCAAACAATTGAATATTTTAAAGGTATTGAATGATTGATAAGTGAGTGATGAAAGAAAAGTGATGTTCGAGTTAGCTCAAATATGACAGAAGGCCCTTAGGGCACGTTGTAAAACATCATCGTAGCTTGTCGTCCTACGTTACAACATGTCACAGTACTCTTTGGAACTGCGCCAATTTTCAGTCTGCCATGTTAGTTCATGTTCATTCGCAGCTAATATCAGATCGGACATTCGTTTTGTGTTTATTTTTCTATGATTTAACATGCTACGAATGTGATTCTTTTCTAGCTTAGTACTATATCTCTACTTGATGAAAATTCTTGTTATCTTTGCTCAAGAGATTTATTTTATACCTGCTAATTTTAAAAACAAAGGCGTACTAATTTTGTACAGCTTGGAAATAATTATGCATTCTGACGACCTCGCCGTCATTAGTGCCGACAATAGGTACATCTCGCGGGCAACGAGGAGTCGCATTTGCGTTAAATTTTATTTTTCCCGTAACTCGCGTTGGGCGAATTCAAAATAAACATACACTGTTTTATAAACCGAGGCCGAGACTAATATAACTCACTTCCTATATTTAAACCCGAAATTATGTTCAAGATAAAATGGTTTTCAAAATCTGACGTGAAATCCTTATTTTGAAAATGTTAACGAGTAAAAGAGTAACGAATGGAGTTTCTTGCTCGTTCTTCTCCACTCGAATCGACATTTTGGAACGAGCGCCTAGCTTCACTGACGGACAGACTGACAGACTATTATATATCTCATATTTGTTGACGTTTCAAAAGTACCAAATTATGGTTTAATTGAAATAAATGCTTTTGAGTTTGAGTTTGAGTTATTCCTTAATAACATAGACAAATGTTAAAATTATATGTACAAACAGACAATGCCCTTTTTGCTTTCTGTTACAACTATGCTTTTGTATTGAAAATTGCCAAAATACGGAGTCCATGTGAGATGTGTGGTTTTTAATCTCAGCCACTGTACCTACGACCTCTTTTCGGCCTCATAATTAGGTTCAATGCAATATGGGCAATTCCAGCCGCAAATGATAATAGAAAACTATTATCTCAAATGTACAGAACAATACGTAGTTAATATTAATATTGTTTATACTGAAATTCACATATTTAAAATTAATAGTAAGACTGGCGATAAAACAGAGCATGGAACGCATATTTTTTTAGTACCTAGGTAACACTAAAAACGTTTTCTGTAAACTAGGATGGATTTAATATCTACTTTAAGTTCTCGTTGTGTATTTGTTCACCATCGATGACCTTACATGACCTTCACAGCTTGGTCTTACCATCCATTGTTCTATACTTAAGTCCCAAAAGCCCAGACGTCATCCATATGACATATTTATGGCTCATATTCCACCGAAAAATCATACAAAAACTGTGTATTTATTTTTTCATCCTTGCGCATCTTATGTTCTTAGAAAACTTAAGAGCAATGTTATGATTGTGATGATGTGATTTTAGGAGACTACAATATCTTTGTGGTTTCAAAAATGTAAAATGATATCAATATGAGACTCACCTGTTGTGTCGATGAACTGGTAGCTTGGGTGTTCAAAGTCTGATTTTGTCGAGACATGAGATTGCCTTTCTTCAGGTTTTCCATGACGGAAACCAGATCCTTGGCGCTGCCGTTTTGTTTTATACTGTTGCTCCCATCGAGCGAAAACTCTGGTATCTGCAACAAGGTGAACTTTCGTTATTTTAAGCCAATTAATTCATTACGTTACCTAATTGAGTTATAGTTGAAGGGTCTTATTGAATTTACTTCACCATACAAAAAGGTGTGGTTTACTACCTATATTTAATCACAACAGATTGTTTTATGACCATCATAGACTATATTTATTGTGGTTCTTGGAACGGAGTAACTATATTAAATTCAGCACAAGGACAATTTACTGCACTTATTGAACCCGTTGAATAAGGTCAAAGGACCCATTGACGGTGTAATGTAATATCAATGCGTGAGTCATCGGATAGTCCGGTAAGAGGGCAACGCTATTAATCAGAAACTCAGCTCACGCGTCTGATTGTCGAACGCAAAGACATGCTCGACGCATATTGATGGGGCCGCCTACGATACATCCGTACCGTAGATTGTTTGCTTTTGCCTACGATTTCTAAATATGTTAGTCAACAATCCTAACTCAACAATGAATATTTAAACAAGATATTTGCAATACCCTTAAATAGATCAATTAATCGAATTCTAACTTCACACAAGTGCTTCCAAGTGTACATCAATCTATATTTCTATGATCTTTGGGTTGTGTAACATTAGAATTATTAGAATTGTAACGTCATCTGCCATTTATAAACATTATTCTAATTTATCATTCGCATAAACACAAGATTTAAATAATGATAACGCTGTTGATTGGCTGTGTGACACCGCGATGATTTAACCTATCATGCGGGAGAAACGGTTCGAGATTCGCACTGGATGACGCGTGGTGACGCGGTCGGTGCTGATGTCATGGCTACGCCGGCCGGCACGGCGTCATCATAACGTCTTCAAGATTCTTGTTATTGACAAAATAATAAACACAGCTACTACAATTTTGACATGGAATTGGTATTTTAAGTTTGTGAACCGTCTTCTTTATTCGGTCAATGGCACAATTGCGAATTCTGACTATTCAGTAAAGAATGAGGATGAGGAGACTCCAATAGTGAAGTTTATCTACCATCATGTGCTCTAGAACGATCCTCACCCATGTCGCATCGGTTCAAACTGGAGATAAATAAAAAATGCTACAATGACCTTTATCTTTCTGCCTACTGATAATAGGTACATTTTTACAATTACAATAAAAATAATAAATCGCTCTTTTACATAAGTCATGTCATAGCTATTACGTGTATCCATTGATTGTGTGCGTAAGTGGTCTGCGTGTCTCGATGAGTAATGTCGATGCAAAAAAGAAGCTATTCAACTGGAGATATACAGAACAGGTCAATCATGGTCCGCGAAATGACTCATAGTTCGCAGTAATGGCGTCACAGTTCCAGGGACATCATTAATGGGTTCTTATATCTGTTACGCAACTAGATCACTGATTCTTTTCAAGTGTCAATTTGTCGTCACAGGATATGATACAATTCATTGTTATGAAACTACTACAAGCGGTAGATAAAATTATTTTGCATAGGTACAACATGTATGTAGATAACGATAACATTTCTTGATTATATATTGGAACTCGTGTGCAATGCAAATCGCTACGAGATTAGTTGAATCAATCTCGTTGAATCTGTTATTCCCATTTTAAAATGAACTTGTTAGAACTTGTACATAATCAAATATTTGTGCTACTTATTATTGATAAATGAGGTATTTTAATAATTGTAGCTAGATATTTTATCGATGAATAGGTAAAGCTTGTAAGAACTTGAATTATGTACGATGTTTACACCTGCACCGTTGTATGTATTTTTTTTACAACCAAGAACTCAGTCAGCATTGACGTTGCTTTCTAAAATCCCATTGATTTGTTGATTAAATAAAGCAAATAAAAATAAATAGGAAATACAATTATTTTTCCCGTTACCCATTTTTTCCATATTATAAAGTATCCAATCATAACACTAACCAATAAAACCCAAACAGGAAAAATATATTATAATACTTACGCTTGAAACATTCTTAATTAATTTTAATACATTTAAGCTAAATATAAAATAATATTATACGCACTTTGTTTATTATAATTACAACTACGAAAATGTCAAAAGGTAAACCACTCAAAAACAAGGATTAAGTGATAACTTACGTTTACAAGGTTGACTACGAAACCAACTTACTACAACTAGATATATCGACATATAATTAATATAAAGTTGGCTTGCTTTAAAACTAATAATTACCTTCTAAATCTACTTTATTGAGTGGTTGTCAAAATAATAGGTACTAATAAAATATGTCGATCAAATCGTGAATAAATTATTGGTCATTTATGCAAAAACAAACAGATGCACAGCTGTCTAAAATGTACTGCGGTATCCTCGTAAACAATAAAGATAAGCAAAACGGGCCGTCGCTGTCGTGCAACAAACAAAAGTCAATAGGTACACGACATAAATCGAAATTAATGAGCAGGAAAATAATACCGCAATGCCTATGCCCATCACGTCAGTGTTCACTACACTGCTCACTTCTGAGAACAGCTTTCACGGTTAACTATTCTGCATTTTGAAATTGATTTTATTTTCTCGCCACACCCGTTCCGCACTACTTCGAAATTGCATCTTGTGCCTTCTTATATTGACGTCAAGTTCCTATGCACGGTTGACCGTCCATTTATAATGCACCTTAATGTTCTGGCTAATGCCAGATGCAGCACATTGCAGTGACCGTTGCATGCCGATCAAGGAGCATTATTACCGAAGGTCAGTTTGCATGCACAATCATTTTGTATGTGGCATTATAGGGAAAACAAGAGAGCTTTATTACATAATAAACGCTCGGTACTGAGTACATGTAATTTGTATGCATACCTGTACGGAATGCAGGCTGATTATAATCAATCATCTATTACCAATAATGTCTTTGAAACTTAACGGTATAGAATTTGCAGAGTGCATTGTTTTAAATACAGCGTGGATTTTACGGTTACATGTTTTCGTATGTAACTTTTCATTGAAATTGTCAAGTTATGTGATCTCGTAAGTTTTCGCATTTTGGTTTCAAAAGACCTTTAGTTTTAATATAAAATAGCCAAAGATATAAACAGACATCTTGCATTCCAGAATAAAATCTGATTGTTAAGCGTATTTATATAATCTCTGAGAGCAGATTTACTAGATTAGCACAGGTTTTGATATCAATTTCTTCAAATTATATACTTTTAATGGTGGAGACTAATATGTATATTTCAAAGAAACGTTTCTCTCTTAACAGCCAATCAAGATTTTAATGTATTCTTACTAATTATGAGTAATTTATATGCATTTTTGTTAGGCACAAGTAAAATACTTGTTACTGCACAAGTATTTTAGTGAAACACAACCAGTACTCGATTACAAGTTAAGCGCATACCTATTTACTATGGAACCTACTTACTTTGGACATGGATTTGTTGTATCCGCTGATAGCCGTACAATGGTCCCAGTTTTAACAGAATACGAGTAGATCATAATGGCTTTACCTTGTACTGCGCCAACCACTAACACTTTAAAAACGTGGAGTCAATGTTCAACAGTTTGATTCACATAATGGTACAACCAAAACGAGATAAACTTAGTCTTTATCAACGAAGAGCACTGTCGATCACTTATCGTCATCACAGTCGCGTGTCTGTGTGTAAACTTATTGCAACGGTACGTGTCACTGTGACGGCGGCCCCGGCGTGACTGCCGGCCGGCCGGCCGCAAACTTAAACTGGCGACCACAATGGGCTAATTAGAATGGGCGAGTCGAGTGAGGCGCGGGGTAGAGGGGCTCCACCCACGGACCTTTGCATCCGCCTCATGGATAACTTTGATGAAAACTTGGATCTTATCAATGTCTCCTCCCATATTGACTGGTTCAGTTCAGAATACAGTCCCAATTACTGAAGACTCAAGAAGACAATAACATCTCGTACTCTCTCACACAGTTCTATAAACTCATTGATTTGCTGTATTCGACAGTAAAGGTCAAACAAAAATAAAAATTCAAAAGGCAAATATGTGATAAAATGTGTGTTGATATTGATATGGGAAACACCGAGCATTATTTAAGAGGAAAAATGCTGAGAAACTTACTTATATGGAAATGGAAGTAGTGTTTTAGGTTATTGTTATTCTGTATTATTTTAGTATTCTAGGATGTAATTCGACATGCTTTTGTTGTATATTATAACGCACAATAGATTATGTTATAAAAAAGCTCAGCAAGGGAAGGGAGACCCAGCCACTTCTGTCGTCCGTCGTAATAAGTCAACGACCTTTCAATGTCAGCAAGATACTCGTACAGCGAATCATCGGCAGAGATAATTAAGCGAATATTATATATCTGATTTCCTTTCAAATACCGATTTCATCTATTTGATGATGACAGAGAATAATTTATTATGGCACTGTCCATTTAAATGTAATCATTAGACTGGATCGCTATTACCATAAATGGGGTTTAATGTCTTTCATTAATCGATAACTTCAGTCAATCGATATAACCTTTGTATTAGTCGAACATAATGATTAGCTCATAAAATGTGTTTATCACACGCTACTTATGAAATTAGATAATGTCTAAATTGGATAAGTACCCAAATACATAACAAAACGAACCATTCTTTTCAAAATTTACTTTGACTCTCTCTCAGACAAAGACTTTTTTAAGACCAAGTTCGAATTTTGCAAACGTGCTATAAGTAGGTACCTACTTTCTTGAAAGCAATAAATGTATGAATCATAAGCCAACCGAAACGTTTAACTTCATACCTGCAGCCAATGCATACGATTCGTTTCGGATCACCGTATCAAATCGAATGTTTACTAAATTCGTGAGTAACCATGCTTGATTCATTTCTTTGGAGATTATAGGTAATTTCTAATCGTTATTTAATAAGAAGGGCTTTTTTCCTTTGAGGAAAATGTCAGCCCTATTATAGGATACACAATTCAGTACAAAAAATAAAGCAGCTAAACCGTTTATAGGTTTTTTTAAGGGGGGAATGTCTGCTCCCGCCTGGG